ATGTGTAAAATGTGAACATTTAATTCTTTTAAAGAAATTTTTAGAGCCTTGCTTTGCAAAGAGTTGATGTTAATTTTTTAAAAGAAAATGTAATATGAGAAAGATCGAAAATTTCATATAAATTTGAAAAATTAAAAATAAAATTGTTGAATTAAAGCTGAAAAAAATGATGTCGTTTATGTTATGTTTCTGACAAAATCACTCTTTGTTCCATCACCAGATTTATAAAAGCAGTTAGGAGGTTGTTTGCAGAATAAAATATCGCATGTAGGATGATAAAATATGTTATACTTATAACTAGGTATATAAGATAAGAAGATGTTAAGTATGTATGGGAGACAATAATTCTTCTGTGCCAACTGAAGCAACAAATGCATTTAAATGTCAGCTTTGAATCGAAATAACTTCATTTAATTAAAATAATTCACATGCGAGAGAGAAATTTCACGAACAGGATTTTCACTCTCTACAAAAAAAAAATATTTCAGAAGTAAAAAAATCCTATTTTTCTGTTCCGGAACAGGAAACGGACCTTGAGTGGGACCATGAACTTGTTCCGGAACAGGAAACGGACCGCGAGCGGGACCATGAACCTGTTCCGGAACAAAAACGGACCGTTCCTCTTATTGGAAATCCGTTCCGGACCTGGTCCCGGATCAACACGGACCACATAATTAAAATGTTTCTTGGAAAATTTGAAATTTAGAAAAAAAATTGAAATTTTTGATGAAAAACATAATTTTTTTTTCAAATTTTCTTCAAAATTTCATTAAATTTTCATTCTTTTATGAAATTTTCTGGTCCGTTTTGGTCCGCGGAACAAGAAACCTGTTCCGGAACTAAACCGGACCTTAAGCGGGACCATGAATCCGTTCCGGAACAGAAACGGACCGTTCCGCTAAACGATAAATCCGTTCCGGAACAGGAAAAGGACGTAAAACGGATCTCGGAACACGGACCGAAGCCCCGCTAATTATAGAAATATTTGCATTGAATTATATTCTTATGTCTATGAATACTCCCTGAGCTTTTCAATCTATTGAATCTACTTTAAAACCATTTTCCAAATGGTAGAGTCAGCTTCCCCTCTGTAATATTATTTCTTTGTAAAGAAAACATCTTATGCACATAATAAAATCTAAATAATAATTTACTTTATGGGCCCGAGAAACAACATTAAAATTATTTTGTATCGTCCCTCCACATCATCTACATTCTCTTCATCTTCCATAAACAATGATAAAAACATTTTTTTTATTTTCGTATTACGTTTGAGTCTGCAAATTGTATAGATATTTTTTGAAAGAAAAAAAATCTTATTACGTACATGTGAAAAGAAAAGCTTAATGAATGGAAAATGAATTCAAAATCAAAGTTAAATTTGTTTTTCTCTTTTTTCATTCAATAATAAAATTGGATTTCTCATAGTTAAATCATTAATGTTAAGACATTCATAAAAATGTCCAGAATTGAGAATGCGTCGATATTTTTTAAAATAGTTTGAAGATTATTATTGATAGATTATCATAATCTACTACCAGTTACTGTGTTTGTTTGTCATAATTTTTTATTGTTTCTAAGGTGAATTATAGAGCAAACTCATCAATAACCCGTTTATTTTTATTCGACGTTTCATTCGACAGAAAATGGTAAGTAATGTGAAAATATTTAATTCAGCCTTGATATGGCCAAGCACAAAACTCGTCAAAAATGTTGCTTTATACTGTATATCAATAAAGAAAATTTCATCACACTTTTCAGATATTTCTTTAAGAGAATTTCAAATCAATTTCATTATTCTGTATCTCATCCTTAATTTAAGAATTGATGATAATTGGTTAGGTTACAGTGTTCTTAATACAATCATTAACCCTCATTTTCAATTTCATATTTTAAATAAGCATGCTTTCAAATGCTTCGTATTTCCTGTGGTACACCTGTTCAATCCATAGCTTGTTTATGCCACGCGTTTTTCATCTCTCATTTTTAATGTATCATGTAGTCTAAACTATTTTTAGCCGTTGAATTTACGATACAAAAGGAAAGACATTTATTTCGTATTTTATTAAACCGGGGAGAACAAATGAAAATTTTCTTAATACAGTAAAACTTTGATAAACAGATATTTCAAGGGACACACAAAATTATCTGCTTATCGAAGTAGCAGCTTATCAAAGTTCCATTGAATTTCTATTTTTCAATGTTTTCTTAACGCGTAACAAAAATTAATTTAAGATTAATAACGATTGGTATTAAGAATAATAACGATAATGTAAATGTAAAAATTAAAGGTTTTCTTAAATTTCATTCCACATTGAATTTTTGTTTTGCGAAAAATAATTTTTAAATCTATTATGATTTTCACTTCAGGCAGAAGCGACATATTTCATTCCAGTTTTCTTTTTCATTAAATGTTTGTAGAGAGAAACGATAATATTTCGATGATTTCTTGAATGTCGCTTCCATTTCTACTAATTTAACTAATTTAATAAATCATAATTTTAAAAATGTTTTGAACGCTTCTGGAGCAGAGATTCTTACATCCTGACTGACATAATCATATTACTAAAGTTGCTTTATTACTACGATTAAACGATGTTTTTAAACTACAAGTAATTTTTAACAAATACCAACGCTTTGCCGTTTTCTAATTTTGAAAATTCTCGAACCGAAGATTTTTAATCTTCAAGCGTGCCTAAAAAAATAAACAAATACATATCTCAAATATGAAAATTAAAAACAGTAAAAGAAACTTTCTAATATTAATGGTTGTTGTTCAATTTTTATAAGTAGATATTATAACACGCTAGAAAATCAAATTTCTTTTAACTTAGATATTATATTGAATTTAACTTTATAAAAATTGTATTTATGTTAAGAGAATTGACTCAAGTTGAATCGATAAAAATCCCCAATTGGTATGTGAAGTGTGCATCTACGGTTTGGAAAATTTATTGGTCACTTTACAAAATTGCCAATTTTGCTTCTTTCGCTTCTGCATTTGTTCATAGCAGCATTATTATTGAAAAGTTATAACTTTCCCTTTACTTCCTTCAGTGGTTCTTTTGTTGATCAATAATAAATGAAGGCGAGAGCACAAAAACCCACAAAAGGACGGTTGGAACATAAACTTTTGAGAGATTTTGGAGAAAGAGTTCTTCCACCTGAACGCATAACCACCGCTACTCGATCGTAAATTTTTTAACAAATAAAAAATTGAAGAGTGTATACTTATATTTATGTTGAAATACATCATTTCAACGCAATTAGGTAAATATTTACAAGAATTAAATTTCGTTCTATCATTCCGACTGACGAAAAAAAAAGAAAATAAAATGTTAATGAATGAACCCTCATAGAAACGTTAGTTTAACTAATTCGTGTCTTGGTAGTGAGTTTCGAACAGATTGTCTCATGAACAAAGGAAAAACGAAAGAAAAAGCAAAAGATTCTGTTGACAATCAGTGCAAATTGAGTCCCAATTAAAATAGACAAGATTAAAAGAGGTAAAACTAAAGTGCATCTTGGAATACAATGTGAATCGAGGCGGTAGAAGATCAAAAGCAAAATCTCCTTTTGTATGAACATACATGTAGGTTTTTTGCCGATGAGAGAAGCAAGCCAATTGTTTGCTACTGGCTGTTAAAAACCGGCACAAAACAATAAAACAATTGCAAATCAATTGGTAAAAGGCAAACGAGTGCACAAATATATCTCTTCACGTAAAAAAAACCAGGCGGCATGTTGCCCTTTGAAATTTTTTAATAAATTTTATTGGAATTTTTTTAACCTGAAATGAAGAATAAAAAAATGTCGAATAAGACAAGAAGTGTTTAAATTGCACATTTGATTGTATGTTTAGTTTTCGACTGTGATTTATTTAAGTTTTACAAAATTGTTATAAGTTTATGCACCTCAAAACTCAATTCCCTCATCAAAATTAAAACTTAATTGATTTTTTATATTAAATTTCTTTCAAACATTTGCTGAAATGGGCAAAGAGTTCTCATAATCATATAGCTCATTTGAACATTTATTTAAATTAAAATGAAGAAAAGAATATGCTGTGAAAATAAGCTTTAAGTTTTTACAAATTTTTTTGAACATATCAAACTCAATTTTATTTTATTTATCGCTACGTCATGTTTTCTTTGGTGACTAATATTTTTAAGATTCTTATTTTAGTGATCTTTTTACCGTTTTTTCATGATCTGAAACTTGTAGAATAAGCTTTATTATTAACAGACTCATATGTAACTATAACAAATAGTTGGATTTACGGATAGAAAGAATTTCTTCAAATATTTAAGTGAAACTTTTTACACATATTTTACGTTCTTCTTAAGTTTTTGTTACATAAAATAAGCCCCAATATTAAAAATCGACAATCTCACCAACTCTTAATTATAAAATTTCACGAATTAGATAGGTATTTAAAGTTTCTTATAAAGATTTTTCGCTTTTGAAACTAAGATAATATATTCAACTGAATATGAGTCAAATAGATAAATTGATCAAAAATAGCATTAAGACTCAGCATAGGTTAATATTATTTATCTAATACTTAGAAAATCTCCGATTTAAAATGTTTCAAATTTACTTAGATAAATATTACCTAAAAGTTTTAAATCTTAAAATAAAAAATTATGGCTTAGAAAATATTTTGTGAAAATATATTCAATATGTAGAAATCATAAGTAGCTTTAATTTGGGCCAAGAACATTTAACACAAATGAGATTTGAAGTAATGTTTAGAACCATTTGTTCGCTGTTTAGCAATCAACTTTCAAGAAAAATGTTTTCATATAATTTTTTTTCATCATTCAAAAGCGCTTGCGCCTACCATTCGTATAAAAACGAACCTATTGTTTGCTTTTGTTGTCCCCGTTACGCTAGGAGAACGTGCTGTGTTGTACTTTCCGGGCTTGTGTGCCAATTGTATTCGCCCCCGTAAATCCATATGTGTGAGAGCTTCCATTGTTCGTTTGCTTTTTTACGCTTCGGAAAAAGCTTCCGCCCCATTTTCTCATCTTTCTTATTTCCTTATCGTAACAGTACTGTATATGGAAAATATTCAGATATCTTTTTTTTTGTGATGGAAAATGGAAATGTTTTCATAGCACAAAAGCTTTTCAACAAAAAGATTACCAATACAAATTTAGAAAAATGTTTTGTCCACAAAAGAAGTTTTTCCCTCTCCATACACATGTATCGCAATTCGTGCTTTATATGCTTCGGTGGAGAAAAGCTCCCCTGAATCGAGTGACTATTGTGCTTCACAGAAAGAGATGATAGAGAATAAAATGTGATATTGTGTGGTGAATAAACGAATAAACTCCTCCTACACTGATACACAAACAATTGGTTTTGTTATTTTTCGTTTCTTCTTGTTCTTCTCTTTATTAATATTCATCATCAGCACTTAATGAAGAAAAATGTTGTATGGAAATTCTCAAGAATGAGCGAAACACTAAAGCATCAAGTAAAAAATTTATATTTATATGTAGGATAAAAATAGATATGAAATTCTCGTCAAAAATATCAACATGATAATTTTAATTAAAATACATATTTACTACTCGCTTGTAAAATGTTTTATGATACTAAACAACAATTGCAGTTGTGATTATTTCATTCATAAAGGGGTAATTAATCGAAAATCAATGGCCGACAAAAGCACTAACGAGAAAATAGAACTTGGAAAATTCCAAGAAAAACTAAGCAATCTCCTGAAAAATAGTAATTTCTATGAAAAATCACTACTGTTTTCCGAAGCATCATTTAGAGACAACCTGCAAAAGCATAACGTTGAATTACCCCTTGATTATTTTTTCATTAATAAGCAGCATCTTTTCATATCTCTCTCACACAATTCATTCGTTCTCTTTTTCGTCTCAGTTTTTCTTTATTTTCTTCGTTGTTCTTCACTCCCTCGCTTGATCAAACAATGGGAAACATTTCTTTTTCATCTTGTGTTGTGTGTGCATGAGCACAAAACGCAAACATTTTTCCCTATTTAACGCTATTGTTGTGATAATAGAGACTATGGGAGGCTCCGCCTTTCTGGCTTAGAAAAGAAGAATACATTTCTTTGTTTACTTTTTCAGCATTTATCAAATGAGTTTATTTATTGGAACATCCTAGGGAACTTCATAAGGGAGATAATGTAAAATCGTTTAATAGAAAAATAACCTTATTCCTAACTATTGATTCTGGGCGGTTTTGTTTTCATTCTTTCATTGATACATACATGTACCATCCCCATTGTTATTAATTGTGTGTAATGTTTTCCCCAATAGTGTGGAAACACAAAGAAGTTCGTTAAAAACAGGGGAAGAAAAACGGTCCAATCCTCGAACAAGAAATTTCACAACAATTGACGTAGGAAACAGATTAAAAGGAAAAACAATCCCCCAAGTTGAGAAAAAGAAATCAAAAGCTTTACATTCGCGCATTTGTATTTCACAGCATTGTGTTTTGTTTGTACATGATTTTATTTTTTTTAACATCGTTTTGTTTCGTTTTCCTACGCTTTCCCATTTCACACACATCTGTAAATTTTTGTGCTTTACATCAATAAGCTTTCAGTTATACGATGAGAAAGAAGCACAAAAGCAAGGAGCCAAGCAAAAGGAACTGCTCCCAACAAAAGAAATGAGAATAATAATAAAAGCAAGTCCCACTAACACAACTGTATAATATCAGAAAGAGAGTAAGAGAGATGAAACAATAATAAATTGTAAGGCACAACAATTCCTCACTCACACATAAGGAAGCACACACTAAGAAGAGTTAATATAACAAAACAAGAAAAAACTGAAATAGAATAAATGCTCAACTGTGAATATACACACAACAATAATAATAGCGGGCGAGCGATCTGTTGCCTGCTTTTATTTTCTTTCTTTTCTTTTCGGCAGTCGCAGGCAGGCAGCCGAGAAGTGAAAATCCACACGCGAGTTTCCATACCTTTACTGCTGATTCAGAACGGGCAATAGCGGTGAATAAATTGTAGAGAAGAAAAAAAATTCATAGAAAAATAAAAGTTTACGGGAAGTGAAATTGTCCGAAGTTAGAGAGTTACAAGTGACAATATAAGGTACTTTATGTATTTATATAATAAATATACATATGCATGTAGAGTGATTAAGTAATTATGATTCGCGGGATATATTGAAGATCACGTGCATAAAATATTGAAAACTAACTGATTTCCCGTGCTAAGAAAATGTGTTAATGTGTGATTTCAAGGGATAGATGTTATAGATGATAAATATCTTTAATATCTTTATTCTTAAACTCATCCAAATCCCTGAGCTCTTGAGAAAAAATGGCTATTAGTTTAGTGATCAATTTGTTAATGCTTGAAAATATTCTCCCCATCAACTTCACAGGTCTTCATAATCATCAGCAAAAGATTCGTTTTTTCTGTTGTTTAAATAGAACAATATATTAATTGTTGTGTAATAACAAAGCATTCGTTTATTCTGTTTCATTCTTGCCCTTCATTCAAGAAAAAAATAATCTTCAAATTCGTTCTTCTCGAATCTTACACAATAAGAACAAAGTGATAAACTTTTTATTAAAAGAAAAGCAAGCACAGAGAAAAATTGAGCAATATAAAGTGATCAGTAGTTTCTCTGTTTTTTTTTCGCGTTTGAAATAACAATAAAACGTCTTTGTTGGAGGAGAGAACAATCAGGTCGGGGCAGCCTTCTTGACAATTGCCTCTTTAAATAAAAATTGTTTAACGATTTCTTTCGAGATTCCATCTCATGAAAATATGTTAAACAATGAATTGTGATGATGAAGAATGGAAACGAGTGTTTCTTTGATAAGCAGATAAATAAAACAAACAATTAACAATTTTCCATTTTTTTCTTGTGGGAATTTCCTTTTTTAATTTTTTTTTCTTCCATGATAGGATCTTTCCAAAGGATATCTTTCAACCATAAGAGACATTTATTAATAAGAAAAAAAGAAATCGCGTTCGATTGCATAATAAAGTGATAATAAGTTCATGACTTATGTGGAACTCAGACATCAACAACAACAAAAAAAAGCTTGCGAACATTTTGTGGCAACTGAATTAAACTGTATAATATTTCAGTTTGAGCTTGAGTTTAAACACGAAAACAAAAAGAACAGATTTGTTTTTTCTTTTGGAGAGAAAGAAGAATGAATAAGTAAGAAACAAACAACATGCGTCAAGGTCATCAAGTAAAGTGATAAGAAGAGATTTGTTTCTTCATTTTAAAAAGAAAAAAAAGAAATAATTAAAGAAGGCCAAAAAAAGTTATCAAGTGAAAATTTTGTGTCATATTTTTATTCAATTGTATAAATGAGTGAAAACTAAAAGAGTAAAAACAAACAACGAAACAAACAAACATTTTAAATTAATTGCCATTAACAGATAATCTCATGGAAACCAATATTTAAAGTTAATAAAAAAAGGTAAGTGAAATTAAATATATTTTTGTTATTATAATTCTAGAAAGATAAGAATTTAATATAGGGAAATTTTAAGGACATTTCTTATATACTAAGTTATTATTAAACAGTGAAGCATTGCAATAGAATTCACGAATTCTCGAAATAAAAAATCTTTTTCATTATTACTTTAGAAAGCCTTTAAGGGCTGTTTACAACAAAAAAAAGAATTAAAACAGGTTGAACTGATAATATAAACTCTCAGTATCTTCACTCAAGTTCTCTTCCATGGGGAACTGTCAAAGAAAACTTGTTCTATTGCCGGAGCCGTGTTAAGAGATTGAAAAAAAAACTATTTAAGTCTTGTTTAAAGTTATGCTGGATGAAAGAATAAAATGAAAACGAAGACATGGAAGTCTGAGACAAAAACAAAAAATACCATTATAATCAGTTGATACATAATAAATCAAAGTGCGCATTCACTTCGAATTACAAAACATATAAATAAATAAGATTTTCTCTTTATTATTTCTTCTATTATGTTGGAGTTTTAAATTTTCTGATTACAGTAATATTTACATAGAACTTTTTCAACATACTAAGAGAAAAAAATGCGTGTAGTTCTGATGAATTTATCAGTCAATAGTTTTGTTCTGTTGTGTTTATGAAGTCAGTTTATGTTGCAACATTAATTCACAATCAAATAAATGTTTATTATCACATAAATAATGCTATCGCGAAATCAGCTTAAATAAAATCAAAATCATGATAAAAGTAACATTTAATCAATTGTTATCTTATGCTCATTAGAATTACTTGCATTGTTAAAAATCAAATTGTTAATAGAATGTTAAAGAACAGATCATTGAGGTGAGCGGTCAGTAAACCGATCATTTGCATTTTTATTGTTATAATTTATTCAATATTCTTTTCTCTTCTCTTTCCCTTTTGCCTTTTCTTACCTATGTTGAGGCGAGCTGGAGAACCTGCTTTTATGAACCTGCTTGTACCAATGCCTTCACCATTCCTCCAATCTCCTTTTCCTTGTCAATATGCATACGTGAAAGAGACTCACGAGAAGGAATAAAAGAAAGAAAAACAAATTAAACAGAAGAAATAAAGAAAGAATCATTGTAAAACTTTTAACTTTTTTTCACTCGCAGTTTTTGTACGCTGTACACATTCTATTGCCTTAATATCAAGCGCGTTGCACTGAGGCTAAAATGGAGAAAAAAACGGCACCTGTTTTGTCGTTTTGCGCGGATTTTTACGGCTGAGCCTTTTTATTTATTTATATTTTTGCAGTCGACCTGATTTTTCTTTTGGTATAGACTTGATATAGACAAAAAAGGAGAATACAAATCTTAAATAAATAATTGAGTGTCATAGCTTCTCAAATGAAATTTAAATCTGATTAATTGAAAGCGCGTATCATGTCCCTTTGCCTCTAACGACCTCTCAAGATCTTTAATGATTTTAAAATTGCGATGTGTTCAGAGAAAAATTCTTTATTTGTGATCTCATCATTAAAATCGATTCCATTTCATTACAGTACAGTTGTTTTATTTGTTTGTTTGTTGTTGGTGGTGCTCATTTTACGATTAATTCTTTTTTTATTGCGCGAAAGATATTTCCAGTTTTTTTTTATTCTTTTCCTTGCCGTGATTCGCAAGCTCGATTTGTGACCGTTGTCTTTTGTTGTGTGCTTGATACTGCTTAGCATCTTTTGCGATCCATGAGAAATGCTAATTTCTTTTCTTATTTCCACAAAGCTTGTTTCAGCAGATATTGAAAAGTAGGAGATCAAGTCGATAAATCATAAAGAATTTTAAATTATTATATTTGATTAACAATTTTTAATTAGGACATTTAGAGTCTTAAATAAAATGCAGTTAGCAATTCCTCATGAAATTATGATTTTGCAAGTAATATAACCGATCCATTTAAAATTTTAAAAGTCATCCTCATTCCGAAAAATTTCAATAGCTAGTTGAGACAAGAATGAGAATACGTAGCGAAAGTTATTTCATTTATTTTATTCTTTTTAATAAGAAATAAAAACACATTTTAAGACAAAAGAGATACATTAAACTGAAAAGTAAGAACAACAAAAGGAATGGAGTGAAAGAAGAAAAAAAGATTAAGGTAAAATCAGGCTTCGCAGCTCCAACATACAGAAGAGAAGCAAAGACAAAGAACGAGCACAAAAGGCATCGACCAGTTTCAGTACGCAAGGTGTATGCCTTCGAGATATAAGACATAAAACAAATGAAACTGTTGAAGCCGCAGCTTAGAGTAAAACATAGTTAAATGTTTTTAAAACAAAAGTTAGCAAGAATGGATTTTAGTTGATAAATAGACAGATACATTACTACGATAGATACATATATATCTATCATACATATTCGTCACGAAACTAACTAACTAAATACTTAGATATACTTTTCCTAGATATCTTTTAAAGTTTTGATACTAACATTGATTTAGCATACAATTGTTAAAAACTCATAGAAAAACCATAAAAACTGCCCATAACATTAACATGTTTCACAAGTTTTTCTTAAAATATTATTAATACGAATATATTGATCTTAAATGAAAGTTTGCTTCTTATCAAAATATATATTATACATTGAATCATTTAATAATTCAAATATAGTATGTTATTATTTCTACCATTTCTTAAAAAATTTACCACAGATTTTTGCTAAAAATTTGAAGAGATCTAAGAAGAACAAAAAAATAAAATAAATTCCTTTTATTCTGTGCCGTTTCATCTCTCTTTGATTCGTTTCGTTTAATGAATTAACATATTATTTACATTTTTAATTAGTCACTGAACTCGTTTTTATCGGCTCTTCTTTTAGTCGCCACTCTTTCCCCTCCATTTGCTCTTCTTTTGTTTTCAATTTTCAGTTTTCACAGATCAAAAATATATTTTTTATGTTTATAAGTATTTGTGCTATTGAAGCTTTGACAAGTCAGAATTCTTATCGAAGTCACATTGAAAGAGCATACCTGTTAATGTCTTAAAATTTTTAATACTATATCTACTAATATATTTAATAGAATGTTTTTTAAGAAACGTCATGTTACGCAATCGTCACATGTCATTTTCACACGCTCTCCTCTTTCTATTTGAATCTCCACAGTAATTGCGGCAAGAAATGCAGTTTAATATGTTTATGGCTGCGTTGTTGTTTTATTTCTCGATTTCTTGAATAATTGTTTTGAGCTGTTGTTTTGTTTATCTTTATTTTCCTCTTTATTAAAGAAATTATATATCTCCTTCTTACGATAGTCTTCTTATTGCTGCTTCGACTGCTGCTCTTAAAACACATCTCATGAAACAAACAAAAATAAAACGCGAAAAAAGGCCAAATAAGAAGAAAGAAAGAAAAGAAATATAACAAACAATAAAAATGTGAATCTGAATAAAACTGTTGCCCCGCAAGCACACCGATGGGGAGAGAGAGATGCTGAAGAGTTATAATAAACATTTATGGACATATATAAGAATGTAATGAATTTCATGTGTGGATTTTCATCTCTCCATCTCTTTTTTCCACAACTGATTTCTTACCCTTGGCATCTTTTCCTCCTTCATCGATATCTCTTCGCGGATTTTTAATTATTTTTTCTTCTTCAACACTGCTAGAACGACATTCGCATAATCGCGGAATGGAATTTCAGGTTTTTTCTGCGCTCTTCTTTTCTTTCTCTCACATTTGTTCTTCATTATTACGAAGGCAAAGCAGTTCATTGTTTCCTACTTTGAAATCTGGAAACAGTGGATAAACGGGATGAGCTACTAAGTATCAGCTATATGTAAATGGATTGGCATTATCTAATGGATGATATATATCTTTGATATTTAGTGATAAATTTATAAAACTTAATTATAATGAATTACAAAAGTTGATGAATAATCATTTACACATATCTATATAAATTATAGATTTCTATTTTAAAATTTTTAATAAATAAGTGACAAAAAGGAAAAGCATAATTGAGATATATTCATATTTTTTTTTACCATAACATTGCGTCACTGCGTTAATCGCTTGAGAATCGAACCACTTTCTGAATGCTCAATACGCGTAGATATAAAACATACGATTACTTAAATGTAACTGCACTCTCTTGGAATTTGACACAAGACAACGACAAGTATTAAATAGATTTTGCTTTAACTTGTTGCATTATGAAACGCACATTCGTGTTTTGCAAAGAAGAAATTGCATCAATTTTTCCACCACTTTTCACAATAATGTTAAAGTGTACATATAGAGAAAACAGTTGAAATGTTGGCAAACTGGTTTAGCACCACAGATATTCGAGCGCACGGCGATGAGACAGAGAAAGATTTGCATTAATATAAAATCGATGTGCTGCTTTTAACTTAAGTTCATGATGAAGAGGCTACTAGTATAAAATAATTAAGGAATTATTTCCATTAGGTATATGCATTCTTTATTTTTTTTAGATTTATTTGCAATCACAAGTGTGCATTGAAAATATAAGTTATGGTTTCTTATTGCTGAGTATGACAATCTTTTAAATCGCCAAAATCGTAGCAATTCAGAAATCGTTTTGCTTAATCATTAAATAAATAAGTTTTCAGAGGATTGATTTTTAGTGGAAAAATTGAGATAAGCTGAAAAGGCGTAAGAGATATGAAGTAGATATACATATATGTTAACATAATTTCATTTTTGTATCGTTAACACTCAATATTTTGTGTAAAGATAATTATGATCTAACAGTTCAATAAGAAATGAAATATTTTATTCCTATTCGATTATAATATTCTTATAGTTTAATATTTAATATTCTTATAGTTTAAGATCAGATGAATTTAAGAAGTAAGCAGTTTTCCTTCACAAATTTATCTCTAATTCTTTAGTGGAAAACTGTACAACTATATAGCAATAAAAAGCAAGTGTACAAAGTGATATTTGTGTAATGTCACACGAAATAATAAATACCTGTTAGTTGTGTGTGATAACAAGAGCATACTAAGCGTATATTTAATCTGATGAGGAAATCTTTCAGGTTTTCACCTCAGGCTTTTATTTCACCAAGTTAATTTAGCACATAGAAAACTTGGAAGTTATTTCACTTCGTGTGTGTAAGAAAAACAAAAGTTGTTTGAGTAATCTCTGTGATGAAAGTTGCGTAAGTCCGGTCGTATTGCAATAGAAAATTACTTTATTTCTTCACATTTATGTCGTATGAACGCATTGTGGAAATTGTTACTTTTGTTATGTTGCTTAGTTAAAAACCAGTTCAACGCTAGGATTTTTTCCTCTTGTAACGTTCGCCGCAAATATTTTACTTAATCAAAATTAAATTTTGAAATCCTTTTTTTTAAATCTTTTGCACAATTAAATATAATCCAAGCAAATTCAGTGCTTTCTTTTTAACGGTAACGATTTTAAAAGCTTTGAGAAATATTTTAAAATAATTGAAATGCAGATATTTTTCTTTCATAAAATTCTGATTATAATTTATAAATATGTACTTTTCCGAATCAATGCTAAACTCGTGTTTTCAGTGAAATAAAATGAAAAGATTTCCCTACATTTTTCTAGGTAGGCTAATTCTTTTCTTCTAGGCAGAGATGCACTTCAAATGCTACTTAAGATGCTTGTTTTGTTGACAAAATGAATTTTCTTTTCTAATATTAGAATTTCCTTTCGCACAAAAAATGGAATAATAATGAAAAAAAATTAACATAAACTTTCTTATGAAACATGATTTTTCATTTTTATTTAATAAATAAATGCAACCGATGAGATAACTAACAGATATATACAAAAATAAGTTTTAAAAAAAGTTTTAATTTAAATGATGTTGAAGCATATGTTGAAGTTTATTATAAAATATAAATTATATTGGAAATCTGATCTTTTTGCTTTAAACATCAATTTCTCACTTCACAATTCAATTGTCTTTAGTGAATTATTTCAAACAAATACATTACATATCACTTAAACTCTATGTACATATGATTGTTACAGTACTTTAATGATTCATCATTTTCATTCATGAACAAAACTCTTCAAACGCGCGCGAGAACTGTAATATTTATAAAAAAAAAGAAATTGTAAAGATGATTTAAGAATACATATCATCATAAGATTTTAAACTTCGTCAACGTAGAATTGCTCTTGAATGAGAAGCTATATGTTCTATTTTGAATATCTGTAAGAAATTATATTTTACTGCTGAAGACAGAAGATGTGTACTGAAGATTGCATTAATGTACATATTTGAGAGGGGAAATGTTCTCCCATAATGCAAGTGCAGAAGAATTAAAGAACATTCATCGACCGGAAATCATTAAAGGTGAAAAGTTTGTTTCCTTGTTTCATTTTGAAAGACGAAAAATAGAAATGTCAGATATTCTATTATTCACATAAAAATTTAAGATGAAGCGATATATTAAAAAAGATACCACAATACACTTCTAGTGCGATTGACGTCAATGAAAATGAGGATTAAATAAAAAATATTTTCACAGCATACAAAAACGAAACAACAAAGCAATTTTGATCAAAAAGACATATGGAGGAAGCTCTAAAATATCTTTTTTTTTCTAAAATTAAAGCAACAAAAAAATAATAATAATAAACTAAAGGATGAAATAAGAAAAAAAATTAAAATAATGATATTGCGAATCATGCTGGGCTAGCGTCATTTTAATTATGAAAATTTTCATCACTCTTCATGTCACAACAAGACGAAACATGTGATGATTCGAAGTAAATACATATGAGATAATCTGTACATTATGAAAATTTTAAATTGGAACATTTAGGTACTTGCATAAATAAGTAGATATATAAATGAGTAAATTTTGTGCACGTTGTTAAAGTGTTGATAGAATTTTGAAGGCATTATAAAGAAAGTTCATTTCTTCGGTTTTGTCGTAGTTATCAACAACTTATTACAGCAGAACCTGTCATGTTCTTCGTCATTCACGAGAACAAAAAGATTTTCCTTTAGTCGTCATGAAACAAGCAGAAATAAACGTGTGTAATATGAAAGAAAGTGAAATCGTAACGGATATACCATAATAGATTTTAATAGCACCCAACACGCAGAGAAAACCTAAAACGCGAGTTTTACTTTATAGTTACAGATGGTGACGATACCCTCCCTGCACTCTATTTCTCAAGGGGTAAATCATCGTCAGAAATGAATGGAGGCAGCCGTCAGAAGCACTACGATGAACAGCCCCTTGCTATTTCTCTCTCTCTCTCTCTCTTTTTCTCTTTTTTCTTATCTCTTCATCCTCTTATAAATTTATTTGTTTCGAAAGATTTCTATAAAAACATTATTGAATAAAAGCGATAAATCTACTTGCAATTTACGGATATGTAAATCCGTTTCGTCTCTCTAAATACGCGTGTTACGAGTCCCTAAGTGATATGTATTAAATGGTCAACAGCCTATATCGTCTGTCAATATCGTTTATAAATCCCGGATAAAAAATGAACAATCTTTCATATTTAACAAGCTTTCATTTAATTTGAAAATTTTATAACTGATAAAACAAGAGGACAAAAACATTTTCTATTTCTACGCATAAAAGAATTATGTTCGTTTTTGGATTAATGTTCGATGTGTGTACAAACGTATCCCCAACTTGGTTTCTTAAAAGAAAAGAAAACAAACAAGTGAAACCTGCAATGAAGAAAATTATATTCTTTTTCTAATTTTGGATCAATAAATTTCCCGCATTTCCCATACACCTGCTCATAAAAGAAAAAGTGTAGGAAAGACGAGCATGCTTTGTCGTATGTTCGTTCTTCAACCTCCCAAGCTCACTTGACTCATCCGAGATTCACGGTGAGAGTGGAATCGTGATATTTATAGTTTCTAACTTTAGTGACAAAAGACACTAATTTTTTGTTCCATTAAGAATGAAGAAAAGAAGATGAAAAGATCATTTTATGAATCTGTTGGAAATATTAATGGCACGTTTTTTTCTTGAAACATTTTTCTCAATTTAATTTATGGTAACTTTTTCTTTCTTACGAATTTTCATATTCTTTTATTTCTTTTTATTGTGGTTTGTTTTCTTCTCCAAGTAAAACTGAATTTTTATTTCTTCATTTCAATCAGAAAGTGTGGGGGAAAATTAAAATTAATAATAAAAAAAGAGAGAAGACTCGATTGTGACGTAAGTACACATCAAGAAAATATCATAATCAAAAGGATCGTCTTTACAGTATTTGAGTTTTTCTTTTTCTTCCTCTTTTGCCTGTTAAATTATGTATGCATGATATTAGAAAAAGAAGGGACTAGCGACAAGAAAAGAGATCAATTTTTATCACCGGATGTCATGTGTTTTTCGCTCCAATTTCTCACAAGAAACAAACAAACGCACAAAAACAAAAAAATAGAAAATGAAAAGATGAAATGATCTTTTGTTGTTTTAAGTCATCAAAAGGAGAAAAAATGCTGAGAAATCTTTCTCTTGATTCATGAATCATGATACTAAATGGGCAAGAAGTGTAGCATTCATTAAAAAAAAAGAAACTATCTATATGTTCGATAGATTGTGAAAATTCATTTTTGTTGCAGGATACAACATTTAGAAAAGTATTCTGAAGTCGTTTTGTGTGTCACATAATATCATGTTTCTCGACGCAAAATTATTCATCGGATGCTTCGAATCCATGAGAAAAACAAGGATGAAATGTGGTCATTATCTTTCACTCTAGGTACAATTCTAAGATGTACAGAAAATGAAATTTAAGAATGTAGAAAAGTTTTCGTCTCACATGTGTCGAAAATCCACTTAGATATCTATTTAAATAGAAATTTAACATTTCTGTCATAAAGTCATAATGGATGCTTTGCAAAAAGGAGATATTTTCATCAGTATAGAAGTAAATTTACATATCTCTACAAAAACCAAAATGTAAATCAGAAACATCTCAATCTAAGTCAATATATAATTGCTTTTGTATTTTTTTTCTTAACTATTTTGATCTTTGTTTTGTTAAACGTTTAGAATAATAACAAAGGCAGTTACACGTTTCATAAGTTTGTTAATAGTCACTTTGAGTATCAAAAAACACTCAGAGGCAACAGACACAGAAAGAAGAAAAACGATGAAAAATTGGAAACAATACACCATGTGAGTTAGGAGTGAAGGAAAAAATATTTTAACACACATGGAATACATTTCTTTCCATTCAATGTGGTTATTGTATCCAGTGGTGGAGTTTTAAAATTTAAATATTTCTAAAATAATTATTTTCTCTTCAAGTTGTCAACTAATATCTACGCCAGTGTACGCACTCCTCTCAAATATTATTCTTTCAACCATTTATTGTTTTCATGCTGAGCTTTGTTTTTCATTTTCATTCAAATGGAGCATCTGTTTTTCTTCTTTTGTTCAAGTGAAGAGAGAGAAAAAAATACGCGGATGATAATAGATGATGTATTTTTCTAAGAGAAATGTTCGGTTTCATGGAGTCGGGGTTAGAATAAGTGGATTTTAATGTTTAAGTAATGCTGCGACTAGTTTATTAAAGAGTAAATGTAAACTATTTCGTGTAAAGCATTTTTAAATTTGCTTCTTTTTCTTTTTCCTTTATAGATAATGTCTTCAAAGCGAAAATCACCGCCAACGAAATTGGATGGCAGTAATGGAATTTCTGAATTGAAATTTCCATATCAAGACAACGATCTGATGACTCCAAAGGAAATTGACTTATCGATCAAAACTTCTCCACCCTCAAGCGATGTAGAAACACAAAATGATCAAAAACTCAGTCCAAATAGTTGCCATTTGGAGTCAAATACGGAAACTAATCATCATATTCAATTAAATGGGGATAGATCGAAGACGAAATCGAAGCGAAGGGGTACAGATATTCAAGTACGTATGACATATTTTCACTTCATATCTTTTTGAATATCATTAGTGTTGTTTACAGACATTAACTCAAAATTATCTACATCCTTCAACCACTATTGCTGGTCTTCCTCATGCTCTTCAAAATTTACTTTCGAAACGTCGGAAAAGTGAAAATTTCGACAACGTGCCATCAATACATTCGCCATTAAATCACAGTACACAGCAGGATGATTTTATCCAAAACAATAATCAATTTAGAAGTGAAAATAGCGCTAAAAATAATTTTATCAGTGAAGCGGATGAAACGAAAATCAAACGTGAACCGAACATCTCCGATCAAAATGAAAATGATTTTAGTCTGGTCGGAAATTATCAATACGAGAAGCAATTGGATAGCAACAATCATAATTTGAATGATACAAAACGAGATATGATGAACTCATCTAGAAAAACAATGAACGATGTGTTGAAGCTTCTTACAAATAAAATGCGGGGGAGCTCATTGAAAGAAGGAAGAAAAGGAACGTCTGAACAAGATTTTGAGAATAAAATGTAAGTGTCCACAACGTAATTTTTTTTTTTTTGATAAATTTTATTGCATTCAGAACGCAACTTTTATTGGCCTTAAATAAATAGGTATAAATTATTCATTACTCCCTTTGACAATTCGAATGTTAACTCAAGTGTCATCTGCGCAGCACATGCTCCTTTTTTCCTTTTTCAATTTTTATTCTTTATGGTCAAAAACATTTCAACATTCATTATGCGTTCCTCTTCGTAAAATTTTAATTTAATATAATCATAAATATTTATGCTTCTATTCTTACATCCACAGTGATTTGACTATTGATCCATTCAAGTATGTCGACCTTCCGGAAAACCTTCAAGAACGAGATAAATATTACTTGTACAGTGAAATGATACTTCAATTACAAATGGCTCGTGATCACTTGTTAAGGCAACAATCAGAAAAACCGGTAAGCTGATAATTTAATTTTTTATTGCTCATTTTTAGGACATCAAACAAACTCCCTTTGGCATTTCTTGTTTCACATATTATCGCATCAATAAACTACCAATTCTTTTTGAAATTGTTTGGTTATCTTTTTTATACAGTGCAAGCTTGTTGTAAGAAAATTGAAGGGAGTCACAATTAACGGAATTTTTCCTATAATGAGATTTCCTACAACGGGCTTGCACTGTATAAAAAGATAATCAACTTAGTTAAAAATACTTGTACTTAGTTAAAAATTGCTTTCTTAAAAAGCACGCTCCTCCCATTGTGATCTCACACCTATTTTCGTCAAAGGTTCATGAAATCTATTCTCTTGGGAAAACAACAGAATGTTTTCTTTAAAAAAATCTCATCGCGACGTGGTTGACAATAACATATTATTTCATGAAATTAATGAACGAGAGACAAGAAGAAGAAAATTTTCATGTGTTTTTCCTTCTCTAACATATAGATAGATATTTCTTTAAAAATAATGATCACATACTCATGTAAAACTTGCTATTGTTGGAGGGAAAGCAGTGAAAGAAGAAATCTTTCATCGTGTTATCGTTTACATACACGAGTCACAGCTTTTTTATTTGTTCGCGTTCTTATTTATATTTTTCTCTTTTTTTTGTCTATTGGATAAGAAAGCAAAGTGAAGTATAATATTTCGTTTTGTGCCCATTATTGTATTTTGCATTCTATGGTCGTAGGGCGGAATTATCTGAAAAAGATATGATTGCTGGTTTGTTAGCGATTGTATGTGATGAAAGAAGTCTCGTAATACTGTTCAGGACGCTTCTTTTTTTGCCGTCTCGCTAATGATTGCAAGAAGGTGAAAATTCAAAAGAATAATGGAGAATGAAAAAGATTTTCACGTAACCACGCCTCGGAATTAAAATCTCAACACGGAAAAACTCAATCTATCGAAATCTTAAAGACCAACAGTAAAGAAGTTTGAAGATAAAAATACTTGAGTATCATTGTTTCCAGCTTGTTGAAATTTTATTTGAATTTAAATTTGTAACAAGCTCTTAATTATGTAGCGTCACGTGCCACTCGCGTGCGACTTTTCCACTCCGTAGCGCTTGGTAATTATTATTCACCATAAAAATGTCTGAAGATGGTTTATAATTTCGAAATTGATCAGAAGTGTTTTATAAATCGTTACTTTGAAGTGCATTCCTTCCTCCAATATTTTCCTTTATCGTATTTTCGAATCAAGAGAAATATGATTAATATTCAAAATAAAAAACTTTCTAAAGTCCCTTTTTTTATTGTGCATTTCTATGACTTCCGGTGAAAAAGTGTCTCCTTCTTTCAATATGTGTATATAACAAAACTGTTGATGTAGAATGGCGAAATTATTCCTTTAAAAAACACAAAAAAATGGTTTAAAAATTTATTTCAATAAGCTTAAGAGAATAAATTATACCATGTATTCCTGAATTAATATGTAAAACATAAAGAAGCTATGTATATTAAATAATCAGCTATATCCTAATAAACAGTAAATCTACAGAACTTCTGTTCATTTCAATTTAAAGATCGATAATCATTTTTCCTTTCAACATTCTGCTACCAAAACTGTCAGTGTATAATGAGAATCAAATATTAGGATTGAGATTTTCTCAAACTCAGTTATAATTCTAACAATTCCATGTGATTAGGGATAGGAAGAAAGTTTTTATTTTACAAAAATCAACAAAAGAGTTCGTGATGCTTTAATTATGATATACCTACCACTTTTATACCACTATGTAATATAAATTCATAGGCATTGAACCTGTTTTGTTTTATACACATAACATGTTGACTTTTACAAAGACTGAAAAAAATTATTTTCTCTTGATTTACATAAGATGAAAGCTTGCACTTTATTATTTATCGATAGATAATTGAATCACCAAAGCTCCGAGTATTCACTTAAGTCAATGAAGAGAATTGATAATATTTTTGTTGTTTACAACATGTATTCAAATAGAATAGTATGGTCTTTTAGCTTCCTGAACTGTGAGCAATTTGCGTCATGTCATTCCTCTGTTCAACATTAAACACCGTTAACAGAGTGTGAACAACACAAAAGATTTTCCTATTTTGCGTTGTCAACATATCATTAATTTTGAACCGTAAGGGGAAAAACAAAAAGTCATTGCTTTCATAAAACTTTTCTTTGATTCAAAGAATTTTTTTTTCATGTTTATAATCTTTTTTTTTCTTGGGACAGATAGGTTCCGTCGTTTTTGAATTGATTTTAACAATTTTCTTTGATGTAAAAATCTACTTTTATGTGCATTTCGAAAGTTTTTCATTGGTTTTTTAAAAAATGCTTAGATTTAAAAACTAAATTTGGGAACTTCAGAAACAAAACATAGAAAACTCCTTTAAGATAATGACATGCAAGGAGGAACAATATAAATTCAGTTCCAGAAAAAATGCACTTCTTCTCTCTCGCTATCCTTCTTTATATATTTCCAAGTGGTATTTCATCGAAAAAAATTGACCGGCACTAAACAAATTCCCAGAAAAAGTAAGCAAATTCTTGGAAAATGGTCATTTTTCTTGAGAAGCGCTAGTGATTTTCAAAGCATCATTTAGAAGCAGCCGGCAGAAACACTACGTTGAAATACCCCTTGCATATTTCCCTTGATATTTTCTCACTCACTTACACCTTCCATCTCTCTCTTTCTAAATATGAGTTCCTCTTTTAACTCATCACCACGCATCTGGAACGCACCACTTTACACAGAACATCTGCTTTTTGTCACTTAATAAAAAAAAGAAACGAAAAGAAAACCTCTTTTTGATTACTTCAAGAAAGAGGAGAAAATAAAGCGGAAAAACAATTAAAACTTTAGATTAAAATGAAAGTGAAGAGAACGTAAATCTTAAATTTTATGTATTTTGGTCTTTGACGAGTAAAAAAAACTATTGTAAATAAAATTTTAAAAAAATGAACATGAATGATTAAAAGCATTGTTCTGTGTACGTAATCATTGCGGAATCCAGGTCATATTTAATGCGACCTATCGCCTCATATCAAGCAAATCAAAATCGGAACATCCGTGAAAAATACTTAATCTTAAAATAATTTTTGAATTCTGAAGCTTTGTTCTTATCGTAAAATTATTATTTTTAATTATTTCTCCATCTCCTCCAATGATTCAACCTTGAATTCGAGAAATGGCTAATCAAATTACGCAATTTCCATGTTCAAATTAAAAATCTTGCTTCCAAATTTTCTGTTTGAAATATCAACACGTAAATATTTCGTTTCTTCATGATTTACGACTTTGGGAAAAATTGTTTGATGGCTTCAATCTATCCTATTTTTAATTCTCTGCTCTCTACCATCCAGTTAATGATATATTCCACAATAGAAATTTTAGTTCGTCCCTCTCTTCTTCTTTATAAGCCGCCGAGATCTGAAAAAAAAATTTAAACATTAAAATGTCATAATTTATATCTCACATAATAATTTTTTATGAAAAATTTTCAACTTTTTCATAAAATACGCTTTCATCGAAAATTTTCTCAGTATCTCTAGAAATTTGAGTTCCATTGTGAACCCAAAGACGAAGCGAACAAGTGATCGCAATTTTTCTTTATGAGACACTCGACAGATGGGAAAAGTGAGTGGTCGACATTCGAATATCACTGAATGATATTGTTTTGATTTTCATTTTTTCTGCGCGCTCCGTTCTCGGTTCATAATCTTCATACTAATAAATAATATTCAAGAAAAAATTAAAGCGATGAAACGAAAAATGTTGTTCCAGTGACTAGAGAGATTATTGGGCTATTAAGCGATGTTTAACATTTTAATAAAACAACAAGGTTTTTGAAGCGAGTGATTGCGAGAAGAAAAAGTGATATTTAAAAGAAAAATATCACTCATTGAGTTATTTTGGTAAAGCGAGCGAAGATTTGACAACAACTGGAACAAAAAATTAAAATAAAAATGTTTCGAAAATAAACAATTTTTTTTAATGAAGAAGACATAGGTAGTTCTTGTGAAAATCTAAATTCTTATCGAATCGAGCTGGAAAATTTTCATTGTAGAAGAATATATTTCTGAAATACGAATATTTGGTTAAGTAAAATAATCTTAAAAACTATTGGTACAGCAAAAATTAAGTTCGTTCAAATATTTAGAAGTCTTAAATATTGCAAAGATAGGGAAAATAAATTACTTATTACTTAATGAGCTGACACATAATTGTGTTTTCACCTCAAAGATGAAAATTACATTAAATGTCATAATATCTCTGACAACATTCACATAACGACACAAAACTGAGAGAGAAATGACAAATCATTGAATAGCCTCCCTCCGGATAGAAAAAAAAACACGAAACGATGTAAGCTGTCGATTGAATAATAATTTTCTTTTGTCAAAGTCTCTCCCTCAGTTTTTCTTTTTTTCAAATTTCTTATCAATATTAAAGGATCAACGAACGTAATTAGACAAATATATATCTAAAAGAGGGAGATCGTGAAAGACATCATTGGATAAACGCTTTTGTTTAAAATAATATAAATAGATGATGGATTTGCTTTGCCATTCTATATGTAGTATAAGAAATTTCCTATGAAAGAAAATCGCAAATGTAAACATGCATTCATTTGATGTATACTAGCGCTATCTATTTTTTACTACGTGAACTGTCTTCAGTTTTTGCTTTTCAGTTTAATTTTAGTTAAAACTCATATAGGTATTTCTTCTCCCTTTCAGATGAATGAATTTGAAAGTAAACTTATGCAGAAACAATTTCCGTTGCAAATCCCAGAAAATTTTGATGAATTAAAACTTCAGAATGAAGCATTCCTTCAAGAATTGCAAAATCATCTAGCGCAAAAAACAGGGAATACTTCTTCACCGCTTTCTCAAGCATCTTCACTTTTAGTATCACCATCACCAATTCTTCCCTTTCTTCCTTACCTCCAGCATCCCTATGCACCTTTACCAACTGATACTACCCCACCTTGGAACGCTTCTCCTCAATCTTTACCAGAAGATGGCGAGACTTCAATAAAGAAATCTTCACCCGGATTTGTTGACACTCCCTTAAATCTATCAAAACCAAAATCAGCTGAAGAAATGCAAAGATCAGCTTTCAAATTTGGATCAAATGATGGAAATAACAACACAAGTAAAAATCATTTGATTGAGAATGTTGCTTCAGGATCTAATATAGTCAGTAATGCTCCAAGACTCCCCTATAATCTCCCATTTAATAATGAAGAATCAGATCTCTTCGCGGCATGTCGGTTGTGGCCGGTAATGGCAGCAACTGCGCAGCATCATCATCATCATAATTCAACAAGCCAATCAAACAATCTACCAAATTTGATGGCTAATCCCAGAGATTCGATTTCAGAGAATAATCTTGCAAGATTTGGTCAAGCATTAGCTGAATCGAGTTCAAAAAATAAACGTTTGAGAGAAGATCACGTGACATTAATTAATCAAAATCACATTAACGATGACAAAATCAGACTTGTCAGACATCAGGGACGAGGTCGTAATTCATCTGATCGGGACTTGCTTGGAAAACAGTAAGATTTAAGAGCAATTTTTTTTTAATTTATTTAATCTTATAAATATTTCAGACATAATAATAATGAGTCGTTAGGAAGCGGGAGTGGCAATAACGGTGGAAAAGCTCACATTAAACGTCCAATGTAAATTCAAAGAAATATTAATTATCATTTGAATTTAATAATTTATTATATTAATATTACATAAGGAACGCATTTATGGTTTGGGCAAAAGATGAACGAAGGAAAATTCTTAAAGCATGCCCTGACATGCACAACTCAAACATCTCAAAAATTTTAGGTAGAACGTTAACATATGAGAAATATTTTAAAAAAATAATTGTTTTCTTTCTTCAAACAATTTTTTAATTTAATCATTTTCAAAGGTGCTCGATGGAAAGCAATGTCAAATTCTCAAAAGCAGCCATATTATGAAGAACAGTCAAGGTAAGCAACATTTTTATTCCAAAGGAGATCATATTCTCGCTATTTCAAAGATTGTTTATCATTGTTGTATTCAGAAATGAAAGACGATGCTACTCAAATTCAAGAATTGGCTAAATTTCCAACTCTTTTGAGGAAGTAGATATCACCTTTAAAACGCTAATAATTTTCATTTTTATCGAATCTTTCAATTTAATTTTTTTTATCAAGTAGATATTGAAGAGAATTGTTTCATCAATTCTACTTCTTTGACACTTTAATGTTTGCATTTTGATTCTTTTTTTCATTTCTATTGCAGACTGTCGAAACTTCACATGGAACAACATCCCGATTATCGCTATAGACCACGTCCAAAAAGAACATGCATTGTAGATGGTAAATATCCTAACAACGGTAATTGTTTGTGATACGAATTTTATTCAATTAGATGTTAATAAAATCGTTTACTTAAATATTTTTATATTATCATGTATATCATCAAAGTACGAATCATCTTCAATGAAATAAAGCCTGTGCATTAACATAAATCAACACATTTCTCTCATGATTTTATTTTTTTAAAGGTAAGAAAATGAGGATAAGTGAATACAAGTCATTGATGCGAAATCGTCGACAGGAGATGAGACAACTTTGGTGTCGAGAAGGTGGTGAAGGCGGGGGTTATATTGATATGCAATCGCCTGAACCGCCTGGATCTTCGAGTAACAGCAGTCAGATGTCACCATCTCTTAGACTTGGAAATAGTTTTGACTCAGGCATTATGGGAGCTGGCAATAGTAAAGGTTATTATTATCCAAATGACTGCTTATCACCATCAGCAGTTTCACCAGGAGGTAATTCCAGTACAAACTATGATTCACGTGACGATGATTAATTTTGAGTAAGCTTCAAACTTAGGATGATGATTGCAAGTTAAAATGAGACGAGAAATCGCCATGATGTGAACGAAAAAAAAATCATAACATTTCTTATAAAACACATTTGGAAATTACTAACGTACTCAAGGATCGGACTTAAGGGTTGACCTTGTTAGTGTCAAATTAAATTGTCAATCAACGTGACATTGGTTATGTTGTGAGCTATTCTTTTCTATAACGATAAAGTTATGAGAAGAGGCTTATTTAATATCAAATTCTCTTAAAATAAGAGATTAGTGAACTTCAATTAAAACACAAAATTATACTTGAGTCAGCAAATTCTGCATGGAATATCTTGTTTTAATATAAATTTCAATTGCCATGGTTAATCATATTAAACTTAGGTATAATTAGAGAGGTCAATTTGACTTTTAAAAATGCTTTTATTTCTATGAATCTTTAGGGGTAAATTTTAAAATTCGAAGTATAAAACATTAAAATTATTTAGCAAATAGATACTTATTATAATAGGTTAGGACATTTAATATATATAAATTTAAATTGGTTAATTAAAAATTGAGATAAGAGTCAATATGTATTGAGATTTCTGTGTCATTTTGAAACTTGGTCGAATTTCAAGAGATAAGATTTATAAACTAGTGATGAATATCTTTATTTAATAAATATCTATTTAGAATTATGTAATATTTAGCAAAAGAAAAAAGGTAAATGATGTATGTAAACTTTCAAATCTTGCTGTCAAAACTTTTAAAACGACTTTTTTTCCTTTTTAATTTTGATTTAAAATTTCATTAAAATTTTTACTTAAGAAAGGCACACATTTTACTCAATTTCATAATTAAAAACTTCTTCATTTTAAGAGTTTCTGTTTAATGAAGATTTTTTAAACCCACAGAATAATCTCGACTTATAATTTTTCAATTTTATTTGGAGGCTTCTGTGATATTAGTTTCTCTGTTTTTCTTTATTTCATTTTCAACAAAACGTTTTTGCAGATTCTCATGAGAACCATTAAACTATTTTCAAAATTTGAAACTAAAGATTATTTTATTTTACATTACATTTGTTTGTTTGTTTGTTTCTCCTTCACTTAGATTTAGAAATAAAAGTTGTAATGTGCCATATTGTAACAATGGTGATGCTCTATCATTAAATCATGAAAAATAAATAGTAAATGTATTAGTGAATGAAACGCAAATATTTAAACTTTCTTTCTTGAAGACGTAGTTTCATATCTAATTGATGGAAAATTGGATTGTATTTCAGTTATTTTTGTCTCGGAATTAAACAGGATTTTTCAGAGACCCTTAATATGAATTCATAAAGATAATATGTAGATAGATACAATCTTTTGAAACGACCTTCTTCAAAATTTTCATGTTTATCAAGCAATTTATTCGCAGGTAAATTGAATATTATGTGATTTATGAGCAAATTTGCGAAAAGTAATAAAATTTAATTGAAACTCCCTTTTTTATGTCAACAGGTGACTATAATAATATAATAAAATTGATAACAATTTTTTTTAAATTAGTGAATATAGGTAAACTTTATAAAAATAATCACGAATCTTAATCGTGAACCACAACTTTTTATAGCTATTTTTTCTTAATAAAAGTCGTCTGTCAAATGTCTTTTACACTCAGTTTTAACTCTCCCATCACTAAGAATGAAAACTTTATTTATTTTCGGAATATTAGCATATAATTTAATTTTTATTAAAACTCATTGGCCTCAACAGATACTTAATGAATTTGGCGCATGGAAGCAAGAGTTTGGAATTGAAGAGTATCCTTGCTCTGTTTCCGAAGACAGAGCTATTCGAAACTTTTGGATAAACAAACAGCGAATTTTAGAACACCATAAAGCTTATTGCGCGGGAAATTATTCCTACACTTTGGGAACTTGGGAAAACAGCTGTTGCACTGTGGAACAGAATAATAAACTTCTAAATGGATTGGTTCCATCCGAGCCAGAAGCCTTAATGTTACAGAGGTCGTTGTTATT